GAATAACATTTAACAGGTGTTGATAGAAATAAAATACATGTATTTGCATGAATGAAAAACAATGGTGAAAAAATTGAAATCAAAATGTTTTTTTTCTTAAATAATTCTTACTGTAATGCAGCAGGATAAACTACAATTTTTTTTTTTTTTTTTAATTTGGAGCCAGTATAAATAAATTCCTTCCATTTTCAACTCTTGAAAAAGCAACATATAATTGACCATGAGAAAAGCAGGGTTGCATAAGGTGAAGTCCAGTAACTTCTGTAAAATAGCAGCTAATTATGGATGTTAGATATATAAACTGATAAATGTTTACCTTAGAAAAATAACCTGGTAATTTTTCTATTTGATTAATGTTCATTATTTATGAAATGTTGAAGGGGTTGTGGACATTCACTATATTTGTTCAGAAAATATGATTATAAAAACAGAAGAAATGAATTAGATGTGGGGGGCAGGCTTATTGTAGTTAAGGAAAGTTATACAAATTAAAGATGCTAACTTGTTGAAGGCCAAGTGGAAATTTTGAACACTTTTCTGCATTATATAAGACAATATTCCTAAACAGAACTATTTTTGACGTGAAAATCAAAACAATCCTCGAATAAAAGAACAGTAATAAAGGACAGTTCATTAATGAAATATACTTTTTTAAAATCAATATGCAAATTAGTTAAACCTGAAAAGTGATATTGCCTAGAAGTTGATAATATATAATTCAGATATTGAGCTTTTAATGTGTAAATTAGTATAAAGTAGAGTTGGGACCTTTTAACACCAAAATTTGTGGAAGAATTGAGCTCCAATTTTGCCTTTATTCATATAGACTAGATATTCTCTAACTGAATTTAGGAATTCTTGTGAAAATTGACTTAAAACAGAAATAAACAAAGACTTTAACCATAACTTAATGATACACATTTTATTCATAGTCAGCTTGAGGAAGTTTCAAGACAAAGCAAAATCAAGTATAAAACCAACCAAGCCAAGAACTCTTTCACACATGTAAGTGAGATACTACCAAACCAAAAATCTACATATTAACATCAATTTCAAATCTGCACTGTTGTTAACTAAAAATTACCACACCAGGAACTTTTCTTTAATCAATAAATCTATCTGCCAACATGAGGCAAAGTTTCCTTTTATACTGATAAATATGTAGCAAACAAAACTTTTCTTTTCTTTTTATAGCCATAAGGATAGCAGAAAGAGAGATCTATTTTAGTCTGTATTCTTCACATACAATACAACCAAGGCCATAAGGTATGGCTTTGAATATGACCATTCTTAATGACTTATCTGTTTGATGCATCACCAGGACTTACATTCAGCTACAAAATATAAAAAAAAAAAAAAATCCTAACAGTTGTAATCTATGAAAATTTTTTGATAGTGATTGTTTTCTCTTTAAAATGAATCAAGTGAAAAATAAATAAAAATATACTTATCTTGTACTTACAGTATGAACATGGAATTAATGTATGGAAAATTGATCTGATTTTCAAATTTGACAATTACATTTACTGTTCAGTACACTACGATACTGTATAAACATTTAGAAATAAATTAGTAATCTAACAAACAGTGCTTAAGTGATATTTGAAACTGGTTGATACAAACCCATTACAAGAATAGTATACCGGAAATAGCAGTCATACACAACTTCTCATTTAGTGGCCAACATGGTTGTTAAATGAGGTTTGGCTGTAATATAAGGACTAACCTGAATTGTTACTAATGTTAGCCCTGTAGACCTAAATAGAATTTTAAATATTTTAAAATTCATTGATTATCTACTTTTAGGACCAGGTACTAGCTTATATTCTTAAAAAATTCCTTATTATTTAACCTTTTTTTTTTTTTTTTTTTTAGTTCTTTGAAATTCAAATTATTAGAAGCAATTTCTATTAACTTATGCTGAAATATTTTAGCTCAATTATATTTTTTGATCACTTTTACACAAAGGCTAATATCAGCATTTTCCTTTTAGAGATAATTACATTAGTTCCAAATAAACAAGAGTTTTCATTCTCAGATTAAAATCTTAAAGATTTTCATATCCAAACTCTTGTTGCATATATTAAATTATAAATATAACCTTATATAATAATATTTTATTTGTATTTTGTATATTTCTGTATCTATCAATTTTACACTTTTTTTTTTAATACAAATCCATTCTTATTACTAATTTTAATTTAATGTTTTTGAGCAATTGCTCTACTAATTCAGAAATTATACTCATATTGCATAATTTGCTTGCTCAATATAAATGCGAATATCAGTGTCACTGTTACACTTTTTCAATTAAAGGGACAGAACTCTCTAACTTTCAATGGCTCATGTTACAGAATTTTGGATTCCCTAGTTTTCAGTACTGTAAATGTTTTCAGCAATTTTATTTTTTTTATGATTTTTTCCAACAAATTTTTTTTGTACAATAACAATTTCTATAACTTGAAAAAATAATCAAAATTAATTGCGAAATCCAACGAAAGTCACTCTTGAAATAAAAATAATTGTTTGTATGGAAAATAAGGACCTACGTACATCAAACTGTCTTTAAATTAAGTGGCAGCAAAAGAAATAACATTGAACTTTTAAAAGATAGGGTTAAATATTAAAGCAATACTTAAATTCAGCAATTAATTTTGAGTTTTTTCTATAGTTTATTGTTGCCTATCACACATACAGTAGCATGCCTCGCAAAAAGAAATCTCTGCCAACAGAGGAGCAGATTGCAATCAAAAGAGCCAAGGCTGTAGCAAGGAAAAGAAAGTCCTGCACAAATGAAAACCCAGCTCAAACAGCAGTCAGGAGAGCTTCCAATGCTGGGAATATGCAAAGACTTAGGGACTATCAAAATCCTGAACAATCCAAAGGCCCAATCAAGGAGCCAGCTTAAATGCCATCAAATAGGCAACTTTTAAGCTATATATATATATATATATATATATATATATAAAATCTGGAGAGAAATTTGTCTTGAGAAGGGCTACAACAGTGGTCCCCAAAACTCCCCCCCTATGGGCAGTATTTTCAGAATGAAAATTTGCTTGTGCCTCACCAAATTTTAGGAAATAAAAAGTAAATTTAAAAAAAAAAAAAAAAAAACCAGAGAGAAGATTAAAGGGAGGTAACCACGGATTTGAAGTCAGAACATTATCATTGATAACTCTACTCCAATTTGCAAACCCTAGTTACTATATTCTTAATGCTTGGTATAATGCAAAAATATCACGATAAAATTGATCAATTATTTATAATTATACTGGGACTCATGCATGCTATTAGAATCCATAATATTTAAAATTTTGAAATCATATTTATTTTTAGCATATGAATTTTTTGAAACTTTCTAAATCTTTGCTTGTTTTTTAATCCTTCTGCCTCACCCGCTATCCTCTTCCACCACACCTATGAGGCACACAGCACTGTTTGGGAACCACTGGGCTACAAGCACACCCAAGTTGAAAAAAGAAAGATTAGTAATGCTATTAACAGGTATACACAATATTGAACAATTAAGTAACCAATAACCTATTTTTAAAATCCCTATCTATTTAGAAACAAAGGCAGATATTGGCTTGTAAAATTAGAAATTTGCCAATGAAATTATGTTTGCTTGTACATGATACAAAAGTCATTGTTTTCACTGACTTTGTAATGGTTAGTGACATTAATAAAAAAGCAAGGATATTATTAAAACTTTGGGCAAAGATCTTTTCATTTAACAGTATAAAATGCAAATGTATTTATCTTTTGTTTTGGTTCTGTATATATGTTCTAAAATACAGTGAATATCTTCTCATTTGTCCAATCTTCTGACTAATAGTTTGAATTAAAAAAAAAAAAATTTAATATGGAAGTAAAAAAAAAAAAAGTGGAGAAAAATATCGGGTGGAGAACAGTTTTTCTAAAAGGAAATCATCTGACCATGTAATAGGATAAAAAAAAACAAATCAGGTAAACAATAGAAAAAAAAACCATGTGACTAAAGATTTAACAGTGAGAAGAAAAAAAACAGCAAGCATCTGTTATAAGATAGACAATCAATATTCATATAAATTATTTAAAAAGTTAAGCAAAGATATAGTTCTTTACAGACATTTTTGTTCAAAGTAATATCAAAATAAATAATTTGGCTATATACAATCTTCATTCTCTTTCCTTCCTTTTCAGAATAAATTCATTTGTTGCTTTGTGGACAAAATAAGCACAATTATGGTAAATAGATATAAAGATTAGTGAGAGAGAGAGAGAGAGAAACTCATGAGTTTTCAGTAAAATATCTAACAAAAAAGAGTAACTAATACCTCATCTCAGAAATATAGACATATATATCCTGGAGAAGATCGGCGTATACAATAACTGAAATGTTGTGAATATGGCAATGAAGATGAGGACAACAGTCTGAACAATGCAAATAGTGTAAATAAAAAAGGTAGCGTAACAGAAATAAAAATAGGGGATTAAAAACAACAAACTTTAGCCAGGAATATATACATGTAAACCAAACATAGTCCTGCTACCCATTTGGAATATGTTGGAGAGAAGTGGTTGATTAAAAAAAAAAAAATTTAGAGGTGAATACTTGGCAGTTGAAGTTAATCAAAGATAACCTAAGCACTCATAAACTATAGTAAGAAATAAAGGTAATTCAAAAGTGAACTTAATTCCTTTCCTACTTCTTATAAACAAGAAAATGTACTTGTATGTCATTCCTATACAATATTAAAAGCAATGAATCTAATAAAAACAGATTTGTAAATATTTTTTTTGGTTTAAAAGTGGCAATCCAACTAGTGCTGTCAATAAGAAAATGCATTCAACTATGCAGATGACTTAGATGTGAAGTGCTGGATTGTAGAAAATCTTTAAAGTAATTTTGAAGTGATAACTGCATAAGAGAATACACAAACCCATAAAGCTACAGAGAAATGAATTAGAAAGCAGTTTCTGAAAGATGAAGTGTGTAGAGAAATTCAAAGATTTACCTTTCTTTTTCAGCTGCATGAAAATCAGGCAGCAGCGTAGGCCGCCTTTTAACCTGCATATACTCAGGTTCTCCTCGGTAATCTTGATGGTGGCTTGGCTGAAAACACAAGTAAATTGACATATATTAACAAAAATTAAATTGGGAGTAATGCAACTGAAAAATATTTACAAAAAAGTTTAAAAGGAAAAATTAAGCATAAATTCATTTTGTAAAATATCAGGATTAAAAATAGGCAAACAAATATGCATTGTTAATCATTAACTATTCTGCTTCTAAGGTTTTGTTTTTCTTTTCTAACCTTCCAGACCAACAAATCAAATTTAAATCAATAGATACATTATAATTGATCTGTACATTGCTGTTACAAAACAATATGAGAGAGAATATTATTTGTGGATAAATATTAGGTTTTTCATAGCCATTTATGTTTTGGCATGAGGTGGGAGATGAAGGAAGCTCAAAGAAATGCCATTATGCTATACAAGCAATAGTTAGACATTAATAAAATTACTTTTTGTAATTTAGTCAAGCAAAATTCAGTATAACTGTAGTGTTAAAAAAAAATAACTTAAAAGCCATAGGTCCTGATTTACAGACATATAGAAAAAAGATGTTAGATATCATATAACAAAACATTCATATTTTGAATGAATATTTTGCTAGCATCTGGCTTATTAATGTCTGCAGATTGGATATTCTGGTATAAAGGTTCTTTTTAAAAGGTCTTAAATTCCTCAAATAGGAAAATATAGAGAGTAAGTTAATAAGGTTATTCCCTATAACAATTATTAGCTGAATTTTGATGTGAAATTTTAATTGTACCAATTTGGAGCAAAAGTTCTTAGCATTTTTCAATAGGTGATGTTTCACACATGACTGAAATCTTTTCATACTATTTATGTGGATTGTGAATTTTAAACTTTTAGATGTTAAATGTAAGAATGCAGAAAAACAATGTATTTTTGTCATTTTATACTTTTATTTCCAGAAAGGTATAAATGCTGTACAAACAGCAAAAAAGATGTGTTATTTATAGAGATGGCGCCATAGCTGTATGTACCGTTTGTAAGTGATTCACTAAGTTCAAAAGTGGAAATTTTGATTTGTAAAAACAAGAATGTTTCAGCAGGCCTGCAGTCAATGATGATAACCAAAATTGAAATGCTAATTAAAAATAATCCAGATCACATGAGACAGGATGTCACAGAGATTTTCCATATATCTCATAAAAGTGTTATAAGTCATTTGAAAACATTTGGATATGGGAATTGCTATGATGCTTTGGTGCCTAATGATCTAATAGAAAAAAATTTAATGGAGTGAAAAAGGTTCTGGGGAAAACAAAATAACCCACCCTTAAAAAAAAAAAAAAAAAACTCCAAAATTTTCTCTGCATCTGAAGTAGCTGAAGCCAAGTATCTGGTGGCATTGAACAGGCATTACATATTACAAGCTCATTCCACAAAATCAAATTTAGACAAGTACTGCTCTCAGTCAGACAAAAGCCAGTAATTGATGAAAAGCATCTAGAATTGGTAAATTGAAAAGTTGTCATCTTAAAATATGACAATGTTTTACCCGATGTCTCTTTGCAGACCCAGCAGAAATTGGTACAGCTTGGCTGGGACATCCTACAACACCCGCTGTACTTGCCTGACTTTGCACCTTCAAATTACCACTTATTTTAATCCCTACAAGTTTCTCTTAAATTGGATTAACTTCAGTTTTCTGGAAGTCCTGTAAAAACCACAGAAACCAATCCACCAACCAGAAAGCTGTCAAATTCTAGGCTGATGGAACACTAAAGCTGCCTCAAAAGATGTCGAAATGTAGTGGGAACTAATTGGCACATATGAGGTTGAATACATCTATTCAAATATTGACTTTGAAACACACTTAAGAAAAAAAAAAAAATACTAATATAAAGTTTAATCTGTGATTAATGGAGAGATACATTGAGCTAAGTGCATCAACAAGGAAAGAGAAATGCTGAAAAAGATTGTGTCAAGTAAATGCTTTTTTTTTCATCATTAGGCTTCTGATGTATCTCACTAGGTTTGCACATTTGAGTATACATAAAAATGTGCAGTGTAATGGTTATCCCAATGGAAAAAGGAATTGGTAAATTTCAGTTTTTGAGTGAAATAGTGCCTACATTCACTTTGTACTAATGCCTTTGGAAAAAACCCAAATCCATCTTTACCAACACATCAAATTGGGGATTACTCCCTGCTACCAGGCCTCCAAGGTAAGAATAAATAACAAAATAATTTGAACCTTTCAACATTGAAAGGCAGTTCATTGAAAAGGCTTCTTCAAGATTATATAAAAAATAAACACAACTTGGATATTTTGGCTTGCTGCATAACCAAGAAAGAGCAATCAAGAAGGGGATTGGTAAATCTTTATTTTGAGCAATTTATACAAGTGAGAGAGAGCACACCAGGTAGTTGAGAACACATCTTTAGACATGATTAAAAAGATAAAATCTGATGCATACTGCATAACATCATGTGAAGTCATCTTCCATTTATTGTTGTTTAAAGATGTTTTATCAAATAGCTGGTGCACCTGTTCGAATTGTCTACAACCAAAAGTGGAAGATGATCTAACAAAATGTTATACAGTATGCATCAAATTTTAACTCTTTTCACCATTTCTCTTTCACACATACCAAGAGCATTAATATGGCAGCTTCCAATCTGACATAAGAAATTAAAAAGGTATGTCATGCTTGTAGCATTAGCTGCCAACCACAGCAACTCCGTATTTATTCTTGAAAGTCGCAGGTGGGTAACACAAAGCAAATTCACACAGATCTCACAGGTGCCATGTTGCCTATAACAAGAGGCCTTGTCATGAATACCCCAATTCCTGTCACCCAGCAAGGCCGCAGGGTTAATTTCACCTTTTACATCAAGGTACAAGACATGGTGGTTCAGCACAGGATTGAGAGTAGGATGTTGTAGGATGTTGTACATTCCAATGGAACTCCATTTTGCCACACATAATCCAGTAGTGGCTGGTCAAGAATTTTCATGATCATGTCAGATCTTCATTCTCCTACTACATTTGGGGTGTTGTTGATAGCCAACATAACTGAGAACATCCAGAACTGAGTAGGCAGCTAAACCGACACAGTTCCCAAGGTTGATAGCGGTTCTATCAAATTATTATTTCTGTAAGTTGAACATTTCTACAAATCCTAATAAAATATTTTATTTTTTTACTGAATATATTCATTTTCTTTTTATTATTATATATATATATATATATATATATATATATATATATATATATTTATTTTACATGTGTGTGGGATGCTGGGAGTTAAAAGCCCAACTCCCCTCCCCAGATTTTGCGAAGTGGATCAGGACAAAAACTTTTCAGCACCCTTTATTTATCTCAATTATTCCTCAAATCTTTTGTATCATTTGAGAATATTTTAAAATAAAGTTTCCTACAACACCTTGAAAAATTACATAATCATTATTGATACAGGAAATAGACACTTAAGCATTTATATTTGATTATAGCAATACTGCATAATTCAAATTTTATTAGAGCAATAAAAACAGATATTAAAATGCATTTCATAAAATAGAGAGGTAACAAAATTTAAAAAAAAAAATTCAGATGAATATTTGATATTAAAATATTAAATACAACAAAAACTGAGTTTCTAATATGTAGCGTTTTTTTTTACTAATTCTATTCTTCTACATCCCATTTCCCAACTGACTGTTATTGGTATTAAACAAAAATATTAACAGGATTTTCCTTATATTGAAGTAATGACTATGAAGTATTAAGCATTATTTAGTTTTGGGAGGTTATATAATACAGGAGCATTTTTTAGCTACATCACCAAAGAGAACATGGTTATGAAGAATGTCTTCATTAACTGACCAAAAATTCCTCAAAACCTTTAATGAATTAACTATTAAATTATTGGCAGCTCACTTTTTGTTATTCATAAAGTATTCTTATATTACCAGAAAAGGAAACATTCTGGAGAGACAAGAGCTTAATAAAATCATTTGTATGCAACATGAAAGTGTATGATGCAATGAACTTCAAATTGAATTCAACTGTTAACAGTTAAAAAAAAAAAAAAAAAAGAAAAGATTATTAAATGAGAATAAATTATTCAGTGAATTACTTAGGTTTTATTTAAAAGATTCTGTAGTAATATTTTGTATAGAAATTCTAAATGTATTATATTAAATAGTCTAAATAAGAGAAAAAAATACAATTACTCAAACAGTATTTACCAGATTTATTTTTTAACTGAGGAATTACTAAGTAATTTCTAACAGAAGTATTTTGCTTATATTTATAGTCAAATTGGTTGTGGTCAGGCTGCAAAATTGTTGTTGTTTTGTTATCCTTCCACCCCAAATAAGGGGATAAAAATCACCAAGACACAAGGGGTTACCGAGAGAGACAATAAAAGAGCAGGATTCAGGGAGAGAGAAGATGACACCTAATGTTGCATTTAAATTTTTGATCATAGTTGACAGGAAAGCAAGAGTTCTACAAGTGACAAATGCAAGAGACGAAATTGTTCACATAGAACTTGAAAATAATACCAATAAATTTAAGAGAGATCTGATTTTTATACATTAGCATGCATAATGAGATATGTACAACATAAAATTAAAGGATTCTTAAATGAAATATTTCTAAAACCAATGAATCATATGATGTAGCTGTATATGCTTAAAGAAAACAGAAAATTATCTAAAGTGTATCTTCAAGAAAAATATTTATTTAGCAAAGGATAAAAATTCAAATTTTTTTAAAGGATTGCATGAAAGCAAAATAGCTAGCATATAAAAAAAGCAATTTTTAATAATTAAAATAATAATAAAATCAATAAAAATATACATAGAAACCTTTTAAGGAAAAAGGAAAAGATAGGTTAAGCTTGCTTTATAGATTAGATAGCAGCATATTGACCATTAATATTGGTGGGGTCTTTTTATTAGAGATTAGGTAAATGCCAGGATTTTGAATGCTGATTTTCAAGAACAGCAAGGCAGGCAGGCTCTTTTGATGTGCAAGATTAACACTGTACAATCATTCTTCCATTA